CTCATCAAGTCTTAAACTATGTTGAACGCTTATTTGTTCGGTTACGAGATTAAACAAGCCTACACGTCTAGAGGGCTATGCTCAATAACTCTTCGTAACAAGAGCACAAACATAAACGATAAATTCATTCAAACAAGCAACACATAGATAATACTTTTACGAACATGTCTACTCTATACGAGCCTAAATCGACCGACGTCTCCCCTCTCGGTTCTAAACGTCGATTAACTAGGTTAGAATGGTGATCAATCAACTAACCATATAATTCACACAACTCGTATAGATTGAACAAAACACATTCCTCATAATTCAAAACAAGAATCAAAATCCCTAACCCTAGGTGAATGGATTACCTTATGCTTAGATTCAATTTCATGTTAACCGGAATTAAGAACATAAAACCAATCAACAATAATAAAATAAAATTGAAAAACTTACAATCGGATTAAGAGTTGCAAGATTTCAATCCAAATATCTTTGTGTCCAACAATCCAAGCATGGGAGAAAAAAAAGAAAAGCGGAGAAATTTATCCTAACAATATTGAGTTTTTGGAGAGAAAAATTGAAAGGAACGATATTGGGGATTGTTCCTTAGGTCTGGGGGGTCGTTTTGATATATAGTGCGCGAAAAACGGAGCTAAAACGAGTAAAAACGAGCAAAAATAAAAACAGGGTCGGCTCAGTCGCGAGTCGCGACTTTGCCTTCTCCTCGGTCGCGAGTCGCGACATCCTCGCGAGTCGCGCGTCGTCTTTCTTTTAATATTCTGGGGCTGGTCGCAACCTCAATTCGCGAGTTGCGACTTCGACACGGAACTGCTCCTTAAACCTAAGTTTTTCTCGCGAGTCGCGACTTTCATCTCGCGAGTCGCGACTTTGGACTGCATTGAGCAATTTTACGTTTCGGGCTCGTTTGGGCTGGTCCGAACTCGGAATTGAGTGCCGTTTTTTGCTATGCGTCACCAACGAACCCCTCTATTAGAATATGCGCTCGAAACAAACTTTTTCTGAAGATAAAATTCTCCCGAAGCTCCCGACCTACACACCAAAAACGACAAAACACAAAAGAAAACCGGAAAAACAAACGAAAAACACCTAAAGACTCAAAATAAAGGAAAACACAGAATAAAACACGAAATGGACTAAAAACTAAAGAAACGGCCTAAAACGGGGGAAAAAGAAAGATAAAATAAACACGAAAAACGCAACAAAAATAGGACAAACACAAGGATTACCTGTTTGTTTCAAAATATGTGGATCTCTGAGCAGAAGATAGCTGAAGGGGCAATAAGAGAGTGGTTGGAATTTGAAGAGCTTAAATTTGGTCGCAGACCTCTAATTCCGTAATTCTTCCACGTCTTCGATGGAATTTAAGTTGCCGATGATAGTATGAAGTCTTTCTATCCCCCAAGTGAATAGGGAGCAGGAGAGTGTTGGCCAGGAACCAGAATCTGATGTGGTAAAAGAGATAGGGGAGCTTGGAAAGGCTGCCAGTGTTTCTGAAACTAACAATGCAGATTGGCGCTTTTTTGGGTCTGCTTTGGTGGATAACCATGTGGTGGCTTCTTGGTCTCAATCTAGGGATGCTTGGATTACGTATTCAGTGGATCACTCTCTCTTGGAAATTAGAGCATGGCTGGAACAGGGTCACAGACTAGGATGGCAGCAGGTGATGTTTAAAGTGAAGGAAAATGAGTTATGGCAGCTGCTATCAAACACGGCTTGTTGTAACTCTGACTTTGCTATGCTAGTGGAAGACATCAATTCCATACTGCATCTATTTCCTATGGTTTTCCTTGTTGATTGCTCTTAATTTGTATTGATTCTAGTTGTAAAATCTTTCTTTCTTTTCTTTTCTAGTTTCGGTTTTTTTTTTTTTTTGCTTAAGC